CCCCAAAACCCCAAAACCCCAAAGTACTATAATCTAATGATAATACTTGAATTATAAATTATAAACAAAATGGGAATTTTAAATTCAAAATAGGAAGCATAGGAGCGAATCTAACTTCTCAAGGATTGTAATTATTGACAGCATTAAGACTTATAAACATCTATAGTGCCCTTAGCTTAGTTTGAAAACGCTTTAAGCAAATTAAGTGACTTGTCAAAAAGACAGTGCAAACTACTGATATCTAAGTGGGACTTACAACTCGTTTTGCAATTAAGCGCCATCCAAGTTAAAACGTAAGTATCGCTAAATGTTATTGAAATCATGTAGGATAATGCTGTTGATCAATATTAACTAAGACATTGCTCATGTAAACATTCACTAGTTGCTGTTGACTATGCTGCTTTCAACTCCACATTACCCTCTTAGCCAAAAGATACAGCGTAATCCATTATTAATGTTTGATGTTTTATAAAGAGATTGTGAACATCATATGCTTTGAATTGGATAACTAGCAGGTTCATCACAATGATGTGGAGTACTTGTTTACTCTTGCCTATTATCAGATAAGGATGGTGACTGATCTCTTGATAAACCATTCCAATACCAAGACACAGATCATGTAGGATCTATTTACACCCCAGAATCCTGAACTTGCAGACATTTCCAAGTTGAATTAACTTATGAACGCTAACGAAGATGTGCAAAATCTAATTAATCTATTCATGAACTAGCCTATACAACAAAGTGGCAAGATAAACATTAATAATCTTGTAGACGGAATGCCTATAAAGGAGTAAATGGTATTTTCTAATGCAAATGGACTTATAAAAAAGTTGGCTGCAGCAAGCGGTGGAATGCTAAATAATATGATGCTGTAAAAGAACAACCAAATGAACAATTTGAATGACACCGACTCACTCGCATAGTACAGTCAAGCTGATTTGCAGCTGGATTCAAAGCGTAATACAGAAAAAGACCCTCTTAATACTAACAGACCTCTCACAGGGCAGAATAAGGGCTAAGATCTTAGACAATCATCCCCAATGAGACAAATAAACGAATTCACGACTCTGGATCTTATGTACAGTTTCGATCCTTAGAAAACTTCATTCTAAGAGGACACTGTCAAGTGAATGACATAAAAGTTGAAGATAATCCGCAAAGAAAATAAGGACTCAATCGACGCTTAGGAGGAAGGAAACATAAATCAACTAATGAATCACCTGCACACTATTTTTATGAATCACATTGACTTCTACGGATCAAGGCAACTCTAGATCATAATGAAGAGTCTCTTCGCTGAGAATAGAATTGAGATTTCCAACTATTCAATCATAGACGGAGCAAAGGAGCTAGTAAAGGTAAACAACTAGCACCTCCAAAATAGTATGCAACACCCAGGCCTCTCTCCACAAAATTCAGCGATACATAACTAAAACGAAGAAATACTGGAAAAGACCATGAGTGAGATGAATGTATCGCCATCTCTGCAAGGGACCTAGTAATTCTCAAATATTGGATCTAATGCTGGAAATTTGCATTTGCAATAGGTTTAGGATAATGCTGATTTGTCATAGATGTCAATCTAGTATAAAACAGTGGAGACTGTCAATCCAAGTAAAGTCAACATGCAAATGAGAGCTATTTTCAAAGAGTTCAACTCTCAGCATAAGAGTGAAATGAGATTTACTTTGAACAATTGCTTTTACAAAATTATATATGGAATGATGAATTAAGAACAAAAGATCGGAGATAATAGAATATCTATTGATGTAAATTATCAAGTCTATCATATTATTTTAGAGGAACTAAAAGGTTAGAAAGATCACTTTGGAGATGAAGAAGTTCTAAAAATTGGGAGAAATAGGAGGACTTAGTTTTGTGCTCTATGAGATGTTAGACACTGATAAAAAGCTCACTTCAGATAAATTATTCAGATACGCATATGAATGCTATGACAAACTGTATAACTACGGATCAAGAAAGGAGTTTCTGGTCAAGTTTCTAAACTTAAAGAATGCTAAGAAGATGACTGTCCACTGGCAGAACTTTTGGAATGGAGTCATCATAAAGTCCAGACAAGCCCTCCAGCTCGAGTGCTTTAGAGAGATTGAGTATTTTTCGATTTAAAATTACTAATAATTAGGTACTTCAAGGATGCTCTTGAAAATGCAACTGTATTCTAATAAGAGCTAAACATGAGAATGAGAGATATTAATGAAGACTATAATAATGCAAAAAAAATAATTCTTGATTATAATTATCAACTGGGAAAGATCAGCGCAATGTACTTTGTAATTGAAGTAAGTATAAGAAATATCCTTAAAACCTAACAATAGAAATACAAGCAAGATAAGGATAAAATTGAAGACGATATTAAGTACAGAGTCAAAGTGCTGAGAGATTCAATGGAAAAGCTGGATGTGCGAATCATATCTATGCTCATGGACAAAGTCTAGCAGAAGAGGAATAACGCACTTTATTTTAGAACTCTGGGGGAGCACTCGCTATCTAAATGTGCCACAAAAGGAATTGACTCCTAGTGTGTCATCGAATACATGATGATACAGCTATTCTTGATGAGAACCTGGCAAATCTTCATAAGTCAACTTAGTTTGGACAAAGTCTCCGATCCATCTGTTCCAGCCGCTTAGAGCTAACAACAATAGCCACAGGTAAACAATGACTCATAGATTCCAAGTTAAGAAGCAGAACTAGAAAAACTGATGCTTTCACTGATGAAGTTCTAAAAGGTAAAGGAGATAGATGAAAAGCTGATGGCTGAGATTAAGGAGGACGGAGTGCTTGGTTTTGATAAGTTTCGAGCCTACACCCAGCGAATGGCTGAAGAGGAGGAAAAGCAGACTAATCTATTCAAAGCTCAGAACACTTCATACTCTTAACAATTAAATGTGAATAGTCCCAATTCAACTATGCCCATTCTTGAGAAGAAAGGGACCTTTAAGTTGCAGGGTTCAATCATCAATATCCCCAATCCTCAATAACAGCAGCTGCAGCAGCAAACTAGCCAGAATGGTGGTTCTTCTGGAATGAATCAGAAGCAAAAGGCAAGTCAGAAGTTCTAGGTGTTCAACTTCGATACTATGGACACAATAATACAGATACTGGAGTAGGAGTATGCTTTGGGAGGCAAGTAAAGCAGAATATCTTAATTCCAGTCATTTATCAATGGTGCTTATAAAGATCTCACTTATGAACTGAATAATGAGTAGATTAGTACCAAATATGATTTAGAAAAGCAGTTTAAGATTTAAAACGACTTCATTGAGCTCGACCTCACAGCATACAAGGAAGAAGATAACTAGAAGCATAATAACAAGTAAATCTTTAAGATGATAGGCTAGCACTTCTATGTGAACCGTTTGAAGCAGGATCTACTCACTCCCTACTACTAACCATAACTGAATGAGAAAAAATCGCTTGCTCATAACTTGCTTGAGCATTTCTTGAAGAGTCTGGGCACTATGAAGTCCACAAGATATCACAAGCAGTTTAAGGAAACAAGAATTGAAGCACTACAGCAGTTTGTTACTGCTTTGAAGTCTATCAACAAACTGGGCAAGTGGAACAACTTTGACATGAGCTAGATCGGTGGAGTACAAGCTAGTGATTTGACTGTTGATCAGTGCTTTAGCTGCATTAACAGTTTGGAGCAGTTCTTAAAGGAGAAGGAACGAGAAACTATGTGGAGAGATCTTGTCCAGATCAAAGACCCTCAAATTAGGTTTGAGAATGGCGGAGTTTTGCAATCTATTTCACAGATGCAGTCAGAAGAAATGGAGAATTCGTAGGAATATAAAACATTCAACTAACTGTTCCACTTAATGAAGGGCACAGCTAGAATTAAGACTAAGAATAAGGAGAGAATATTCAGACCTTTCCTTAGGATCCTAGACTAGATTACTACAGAAACTCAAAAGCAAAAGGTCATTCTGAATATGATCATGACTCCAGAATCCAATAACCTTCAAAGCCAGGACACTCTTGAGACCTTTATAACTGAACAGATTTTTGCAGTGGGAGAAGATGAGGACTTCGTTTAATTGATGGATGTATTCACCAAGGATAAGCAATTGCTGTTTGAGCGAAGAAAGAACCGAGGACTGGAGAACTATGTCTTAGGTGCTGTTTAGTACTTGAATGTGTTTAATGAAGGAGAAGAAAAGTCAGAGTTGATTATAAGGCTTCACAGAGAGATTCAAAAGATACATGAGCAGTTCACTCTCGAGAACAAGGGTGTGAGGCTCTAAGCAGTGCAGAGTTAGTTCAGAGAGTCTAGTGAAAAACTCCTCAAAAAGGTGGTTAAGCAAGAGTACCTAGCTGTGCTAATGAATAAAAGTAAGAAGATAGGTAGAATAGAAGGAGTCTAGATATACTTGAAAAACTAGCTAGCAGATAAGGAGAGACTTCTAAGCAGGATAGAAAAGCTTTACTAATATTTAAAGTCAAATAATGTAGACGACTAAGATGATAACATGCAGTAATAACTTGGAGCAAGAGAAATCAACAATATTCTTTCAGGGTAAAACTTCCTTGATGATGTGAATTTTAACAATCAAAAGAAGCAAGAGGAATATGGATTATCTGAGGAACAATAAATCCAACATAAGCTGATACACTTCACTACATAGTTTACCAAAAGAATGGCATCTGCTGATGAAAGAATCAGTTCCAAACAGATTATCAGAAATGACTTTGTATTTGGCTACCTCCAAATTGTTAAATAAAGAATAACCCATTTGAGAGATAAGTTTAGGCTGAGAGAACAATATGATGAAGGTCTGAAGCACCTAATCAATATTTTTGAAATATACAAGACTCCTATAACCCATTATCAAAAGAGCTATGAAAGAGTATGCAGGTTTATTAGCAAGGAATTGCTTTATAGGATCATCGAATCTGATGAGGGTTACTTGAAGTTCTTATTCTTTGAGATGATTAGCAAGAAGGGAAGTGCTATATTCAAGAATGCTCATAATAAGTTAGAGGTTGCTTTTGCTAAATTAGAAATAGACGAGTAATCCAGAATAGAGGTTGAAAAGGTCAAATTATAAGCAAAGAGAGAGCTTGATACATAGACTAGAATATTTAAGGAATTTATTGATTTAGAGGAAAATAACAAGGTTGCTATGGTCAAATAACAATAGATAGAACATCAGAATTTCAGACTCATGTAAGAACTAGCAGCTCTGTTATTACTTATCAGAGTATTCTATATCAAGCTAGAGTAAGACGAGAATGCGTATCCCTTAGCCATTAGTAATGGACTTGAAAAAACAAACTTATCACTGTCTTGAGAGATAAATGATTTTATATTATTATGCTAATCTTAATTTCATAAATCTCAAAAATCAATTTATTCATTCTTCACGGGGTTTTGGGGTTTTGGGGTTTTGGGG